AAATCCTCTCAATCACCCCGCTCCGCCTAAAGGCCAGGAATTGCTTCGACCAGGAGCCATGGTGGAGTGGTTTTCCGGTGGCATTGTCCGCTTGTGGGTGGGGAAGTGATGTCGGCACCGTTGTTTTGAAGTCATCTTCTTCACCAGGTCCCCCTTCTTGCCGACCGAGCCACCACCCGCAAGCATTGTCGAGAGATCCGCTCCCACCTATCCGCGGCGGTGCCCTCCTCATGTTTGGGGCCAGGCAATTGGGTGATCTTTCGATTCCTACACAATGTTTACAACCTGCCGGTTTCATCATCACCTACGGGTAAACAGTTGTGAGCTAGCAGTGAAGCTGGAAAGAGTTGTCACTGGCTTTTAGAGGCCCCGGATGAAGAAAAAGAGAATTAACCCATAAACCTCAGTAAGCTATAAAAAAAGTTTTTCAGCAGAGAGCAAACTTTCGATGTAATACACACAAGAGGATGCAATATCAAAAATTTTACGGCTCAAATTCACCACAAAAAGCCATTTATTCTCCACGAGCAAATATCACATAAAGTTAAGGCAGGCGACAACGAGTTATTTCGGAAAAATTCACAGCTATGCATTCTTTGAAAATGGTGAGCGAGTTTCAATTTTATTTCGACGGTTGAAGAAGCGGCACCGGGCGGCTACTGCAGCCACATCTCTCGCTGGAAAAAAATTATCATCAGCTTTTGCGCAAACGCCTTACGGGTACTTCGATTTTCCGTGGCCAAAGGTGACCGGGCGATCCTGGACGATGACGGTGGTGGCGGCTGAGTCAGAGCGGCTCATTGCAGAGATCTAGAAAAATTCAGTTCCGGCAATAAAGAAAATTACCTTCAACTGATGACGCTTGCCCGTCGCATCCAGGATCGAAATCGTCGCGTCGATGCCCCAGCCCTTCGGCTGCACAAAAAATCATTCATAGGGTGACGAGTACGAAACAATACCATCTTATCGGGTCCCGGCGAGCCGCGCTACGGCACGGCTCGTCAATGCGCGGCATTGTCGTCAGCGAAAAGTTGCGGCTCGACGACCTCGGGACGGGCTCGCGCTGGCTGTTGCGGAGGAGCTCGAGCAGGCGAGGACGGGGGTCACTAGCAAGAAAGTTGAGGTGGCAAGTGACGTCCTTACTCTGCAGATTTGATCCTGATGTCGCCTCGGTGGTCGTCAACCTCGCGCACCACCAGCACCTTGCGCCCCTCGGTGACCTCGCGGTACACCTGAAGTGCATGGGTTGACAAGTCCTGAACGGGCATTACAAATTTTTTTAGCCTTTTCTACTGTTTCGAGTAGTTTTTAGCAACCAAAAGCCATAAGAACATTTTTATAAACGTGGAAAATTGGAATTTTTACTCATTTCTGAAAATTTTAATCAGGCCTTTCTAAACTTCCTAAATTGAAAAACGGCGTAATGTACCAGAAAACCAAAATCAAACCACCAAAAATGTACCGTCTCATTAGGCTTCAACTGAAGAAGACCCTTCTTTCCGGGGTAGTACGTCTCGGGGCCGGGAGAAGGGGCCGTGCGCACGCCGTCGCTGTCGGACTCTTGCTGCTGCTGCTGCTGGCGCTTCTTCTTCTTCGCCGTCCGCTTGCTGGCCCGGCAGGAGCTGTCCTGCACGGGCGGTGGTGGTGTCTCCGGCGGCAACGTGCTGTCGCTAAACTTATAGGTTTCAAAAAGAATGGAAAGAATTAAATTTGCTCTAAACTCAGCCGAGTCAAAACTGTTATGACTCGGCTACCGATTGGTCTTCGAGGGCGTAAAGTATACCAAAATGTTCGTCTTTTTCTGGCGAGTACTTTACAACATCTAGCCCACAGGGAAGCCAGAGTTATAACTCAATTCCTTACGGCGGTGTGCTGATCGAGGTGCCGCGGTCGGTGGTCGCCGTGACGCTCTTCGTGCTGCAGCCTCGGGCCGGGCTCGGGCTGGGCCAGGATGAGACAGGGCAGCGCACGGTCGTCGAATACCCCTGTAAAAGAAAGTGTTCCTGAGAATCAAGGTAAAACAACGCCAATTTCAAGTGCAAATACAAACCTTTAACCGTGTTTTCCAGCCCTGGGCATCTTCTCGTACAGGTCGATGATCCACTTCCCGGCCCGCTCAGCAATCCGGTTGATCTCTTCGGCGGCCTGGGCCGAGTTGAGGGTTTGGGGCGTAGTAGCGCGCTTCGCTGCTGAAAACAGAATTACAATGCGAAGAAAAATGTGACTTACAGCCAGACTTTTGCCAGCTCGGTCGGAAGAGGCCATCGTTGGCGGAGGATCGGCTCGAAGCCGGCCGGACGAGGGGCGAGTAGGCAAAGGCAATGTTTTTTGCTAGTTGGAAACTCCTCAAATACTTTTGGTTTTTAGGAAATTACTCATTTCCGGTATTTTTGATGTAAATACCGTTTCCGGAAAGATTTTGTTTTCTAGCCATTAGAAAAGCTTTCGATCGGCCAAATAAAGACAATTTCCGCGAAATAAATTTCCTTTAATGATATTTATATTGTTTAGTTTGTAAAGATTATAATTTTATCCTTTTATGCTTTTTTGCGTTTCCTAATCAGTTTGTTGTTTTGTTGTGCTGCGGATTTCGTCAGCAACGCGCCAATACACCACACGCCGGGACCCCGACCCCTCACTGACACCCCCGATTTCTTTTGCGTCAGAATTAAACAACCTAAACAATTTTCTCGAAAAATCTTTTGCAACTTTTTCTAATTTCTCTTTGAAATCGGCTAAAAACTGAGTATGATTGTCCTTTGCGCACTTCTTCACATTTCCCATGTTTTTCTCAAGATTTCGTCACCACCAAGCATCCCCGTACTTATCTCACTTTTTCAGGCCGCCCCGATGTCCGTCTCGCGTCGATTACAAAAGGAGCTGGCCGACATCCAGGGCTCGGGCGCCAAGTCGTACGCGAACGTCGAGTACAGCGACAGCAATCTGCTCCATTGGACCGTCACCCTCCTCCCCGACAACGTGCCCTACTCCAAAGGCGCCTTCCGTGTCCAGCTCGACTTCCCCGCCGACTACCCGTTCAAGCCGCCGAAGCTCACCCTGCTGACCAAGATCTACCACCCGAACATTGACGAGCAGGGCCAGATTTGCCTCGGCATCGTCCACCCCGACAACTGGAAGCCGGCCACCCGTGCCGAGCAGGTGCTGATGGCGTTGCTGCAGTTGATCAACGACCCCGAACCCGACCACCCGCTTCGTGGAGACCTGGCCGAGGAATTTACCAAGGACAAGAAGACGTTCATCAAAAATGCCGAGGAATTCACGAAGAAGCACGCCGAGAAACGCCCCCACTAATCAAGCCATGATCTGAGCGTCATTTGTACTTAATCCTAAGCACTTTTATACTGTGTATTGTTCATTATTATGGGTAACAGCACTTTTTTTGGCTCTTTAGCTTTGTGATGCCCGTGCTGTGAATGTGAAGTTTCTGGTACCCACATGTCTAAATTAGTACCGCCAATGTCATGCTGATTGATGATGTCGCACTAGTCTAAATAACCCTGTGAATAAATTTTTCATAGAAAAACTGCTGCAGTTCTGACTGAAACTGGTTAACCCAACGATCTTTGCGGAATTTTGATGGTGTAGATGAAGATATGGTCTAGTTGTGCGGGTTGTCGAGTTTCGTTTAGATAAACATTTGTTTGGTGTATCTTCCGTGCCCTTTATTTTTTGGTTTTCAGGGTAGTCTGTTTACAGCGCCATGTCGGACCAAGAGGCTGCTGCCGCCGATGGCGAGAAGAAGCTGAGCAAAAAGGAGCTGAACAAGCTCGCCAAGAAGGCAAAGAAGATGGAGCTGACCCAGCAGGTTGGTAACGGAAAACGGATGATTTTCAAACTTTCGGCTGCATTGTCTAGTGTATTATCAGAAGGGTCCGTCCGCCAATGACGCGAGCGGTGACAAGGAAGAAGACGTGAGCGTCGGCTGCTACGGGTCTTACGGGCTCGTCCAGTCCACCGATGAGAAGGACATCGTCTTCACCGAGCTGAACGCAATCAACAAGGACCTGGCTAACAAGGAGGTATTTGAAGCTTTTCCGCTAAATCTCTTGCTTGTAGATCTGGGTTCGCGGTCGTGTCCACACCACTCGCTCTACCGGGAAATCCTGCTTTCTGGTACTCCGCCACAAGGTGCACACCATCCAGGTATGATAGTTTTACATGAAAGCAAGTTTCACGATTGTTAGGTTGGTCTCTTCAAGGGCGACCTCGTGAGCAAGCAGATGGTCAAGTTTGTCGGAGCCATTCCCAAGGTATTTTCAGTGTTTTGGCTTCCATTTCCTTTTCAGGAGTCGATTATCGACATCCAGGCCAAGGTGGTCGTTGCCGAGCAAGAAGTGTCGGCGTGTACCCAAAAGGAGATGGAACTGCACCCGATTCAGGTAAGGAAATAGCAATTGGTTGGTATTGTGGTGTTTTAGGTCTTCGTTGTTTCCTCCTCGGAGCCCCGTCTGCCATTGCAAATCGAGGACGCATCGCGCGGCGAAAATGATCCTTCTGGGCTCGCGGTCGTCAACCTCGACACTCGGCTTGATAACAGGTAGTCTTTTTCTGAAAAATTCAACTTTTTAAGAATCCTCGATTTGCGCACAACAACCACCCAAGCGATCTTCCGGGTCCAGGACGGTGTCTGCCACTTTTTCCGCTCAATTCTTCGGGAACGTGGCTTCACTGGTAATATTCTTCAGGCTTTCGGTTTCAAAGCTTTTAGAAATCCACACGCCGAAGATCATTTCTGCTGCCTCGGAGGGTGGAGCCAATGTCTTCACCGTCAGCTACTTCAAGGGTCAAGCCTACTTGGCCCAGTCGCCACAACTCTACAAGCAGATGGCAATCGCCGGTGATTTCGAGAAGGTTGGTGGCCTAGTTTATCAATTCAATCTGATTTTAGGTGTTCACCGTCGGCGCCGTTTTCCGTGCCGAGGACTCGAACACCCATCGCCACATGACCGAGTTTGTCGGCCTTGACTTGGAGATGGCCTTCAAGTTCCACTATCATGAGGTAACGAAATTTGTGACTTGGAGAAGATTATATTGCCGTTTTTAGGTGATGCGCACAATCGGTGATGTGTTGATCAACGTTTTCAAGGGGCTGCAAAGGGAATACGCCCATGAGGTAAGAATTCGGATTCCGCTCGAACTGTTTTTTTTAGATCGCCGCCGTCGGGCAACAATACCCGGCCGAGCCCTTCCGAGTTCTGCGAGCCGGCTTTGGTCTTGAAGTAAGCTACTTTTCTTGAGCGTCCATCCATTGTTTTAGGTATGCTGATGCCGTGGCGATATTGCGCGAGAACGGTGAAGAGATTGGTGATGAGGAGGACCTGTCGACGCCCCTGGAGAAGAAGCTCGGTCGACTCGTCAAGGACAAGTACAAGACCGACTTCTACATCCTCGACAAGTTTCCGCTTGCCGTCCGACCATTCTACACGATGCCCGACCCTCACGATGCGCGCTACTCGAACAGCTACGACATGTTCATGAGAGGTAAGGGTTGAGCTTTATTTGTTGTTTTGGAAAAAAGTATGAGGAGAATCGTAGCCAGTGCGTTTCAAACAATTCTTTTTAGGCGAAGAGATCCTCTCCGGAGCCCAGCGTATCCACGATCCGACGTTCCTCACCGAGCGCGCCAAGCACCACAACATCGAGCTCGACAAGATCCAAGCCTACATTGACGCGTTCCGCTACGGATGCCCGCCGCACGCTGGCGGTGGAATTGGTGAGCGAAATTACGGAACCGTATTTTGTTTCGGAACGGCTTATTTTACTGTCTGCGCGTGTCGTTTCTTGAAAGAGTTGTAGTTCAAAAATTTATACTGCCTTTAAGAAAAGCGGCGCCCTTGGTTATAAAATTTTTACTTATCTTTTTTCCGGTATGGAACGCGTGACGATGCTCTTCCTCGGCCTGCACAACATCCGTCTGTCGTCGATGTTCCCTCGTGACCCGAAGCGCATCACCCCCTAAGCCGGCTTCTCACCCCTTCCACTTGTTCCATTTGTAACTTATCGCCTTTCGTTGTTCTGTTTTTATCTACTTTTTTTTTCGCGCCTGCGCGTCAGGGCCCCAATTCTTGTCATTGCTTTGTCTAGTTGTGCATTTCCCCGTCAAGTGTTATGCCTTGTTATAAATGGTTTACAGCTCTCGGTTTTTATTCGTAATGGCTAGTACAAAGCATCACATTTGAACCAAATTATTATATTTTTTTTGAAGTGATAGGGCTTGGAAAACTTGGTTATGATCTAGCCTGGCTTGCTTGTGGTGTATGGGGCTGTCAGGCCCAGCAAAACGTTCGCCTTGGTTTTGAGAGTAAGGACGCGTCGCGTGGTAAACAACGCTTTAGGCGATCTGCGGATAAATACGGCTTAGAAAACTTGCTAATTTCTCCCTGATCGTGCGCACCGATGCGGCCAGCGCCCTCGGCAAGTACGAATCTGAACGTGACGGTACGCTTGCCCAACTCCTCGCGGACAGCCACGCAAATCTTATTTTCGACGGAAAGGGGCCATTTTTATAACCCGTAATTTTCCTAGCTTCAACAGGCGATTGTCTTATGACGGTTAATGATCTCTATTTTCCGGTACACAAAGCCTAGCTTAAACCTGTGTTATCAGCGGCCGTGTCGAACGGCTGAGCTGGCTATGAATGGCGCTGATTTTCATGACTTGAAAAATAGCGCAACGCTATTAGGAAAATTTTCGGACGGTGAAACCAATTTCTTTTTTTGCAGCAAATTTATGCAGCCGCGACATTTCAGTCTTTATTTACAATAGCCACTGCCAAGCATCACAACCGAACGAGTAATTGAGAAAAAGGCGATCATCTTGGCGCCGACGACGGCGATGGCGATGTGGTAGGGGATGGATGAGGTGGCCGCTTTGGCCTTCAGGGTGGCCGGTTCCCAGTTGTTGCACAGGTCAGTGTCGCACCCACAGTCCACCCGAATAACTGGAACACGGAAAGTTATGCGTTAGCCTTTTTGGTAAGAGACGAGGAGCGCCCCCCCAGCCGTAACTTTTCATCCATGCGTTCCAATAATGCGTGGAGTATATTCAAAATGTTCGCCGTGGTCGCTTTAGCCATTTTATGACAATTTTGTTGTAAGGAAACAACGTTTTTATAGCAATTCGAACATTGCGAACATTTCCAGATAGTCCACGCATTAATAGGACGTATGACTCAAAAGTTAGGGCTGGCGGCAAACTAGAATCTGACCCCAAGCCGGCCTATCCACTCACCGCCGTCAGTCCCTTTATGCGGGGCGCAGGTGATCTCTCACTCCTTTCGGTAGCAGCCTCGCTCCCATAACCTTTCCATCCAAGTCGATTTGAGCGTAGCACTGATCGTCCTCGCAAGTCGGCATGTCCTAGAGCCCCAGGTTTAACGGTGAAAAGGGTGGATGGCGGGTGGTTAGAGTGCAGTTTCCCCCTCCCCATCCAGCCGGCGCCCAACTTTCGTATCTCGTTTGTCTACAGGTGTGTATAGTATACCAAACCGTTCGCCTTACTCTGATGAGTATTTTGGTATACTTTACTACCCGGTAGGATAACAAGGAGCCGAGATACGGTAGGTGGGCGTCGGCTGGAGGGGCCGGGGCAAACTGCGCGTAAGCTTGGCTGGTTGGAAAACCGCATGCCCACTTTGCTGCCCTGCATGCAGTCCCGGTGGTAGGGACCGTCGTAGCCCTGGCCGGAGTGGCACCTGTAGCACTTGACGGCTGGGAGAAGCTGAGGTGGACGACGAGCAGGGTCAGGCGAGGAGATGCCGAACAGCGGGCAGACATCTTGGAGAAATGGAACACGAGGTAGCTGCAAATTTTGGTCGTTGTCCTGACTGCAACTGGACTTTAGATGTATGCAAATTTTGCGTTTGTTTAGCGTTTGCTGCTTTCTCGTAATCAGGAGCTCGAGATTTGTTAAAACTATCGGCTGTTGGCGTTTCAGAGTTTATTTACAATACCCAGTGCCAAGCATCACAATCGATTCAAAAAAGGGAAAAAGAAATTCAGAAAAAGGCGATCAGCTTGGCGCCGACGACGGCCATGGCGATGAGGTAGGGGCTGGATGAGGTGGCCGCCTTGGCCTCCAGCGCGGCTTCATCCAAGTTGTTGCACAGATCACTTTTACAATTGCAGGTCCATAGCTCTTCCTGGTCTAAAGTTAGCTGTATTTTTTAGAGATATGGATTCTTTAGGATTCACGGGGGGACCAACTTTTTTCGCAGCAAGCCTGCATTTTTTTTATTAACAGCGGATGTGTTTCTAAATTGTTTCTAGCTATTCCTAAGCATAAGAACTATTCAAATTTTTTTAATTACCAAAGTGTCCACTTTTTAAAACATTTTTCCAACTTTTTTTGAAAGTTTTTCTACTTTAAATATAGTTAAAATTTACTAAAAACAATTAAAAAAACCCACTGATTTTGGATTACTAGGGCCCACGGGGGCCAGGAGGAAATTGGCTACGGACACCCCACCCCCAGCCGGAAGGTTTGGCGTAACTTTACAATGTAGGCCAAATTAAAAAAGTATATTTTTGACGCCTATCGAATGGCGTTGAAAAATCCCACAAAATAAGCGAAAATAGGAGAAACTGAATAACCCGAAATCCTTACACTCTTCGTATTTTTCACGGCGGCAGCCCATGAAGACCGGAAAATCCCGAGAGACACAGCTTCTGCGAAAATGCGTCCCATTCGGATGGGTTAGCATGTACGTTTCGCAAGCACTGTTGGTCTCGCAGGTCGGCAAGTCCTGGAAATTGCTCGGAGGGTGAAAAGCCCCCCCGATTCCGGGTGTCCCAAAAAATGGAAAGTCATCTTTGTTTACGATATACGGTACTGGACTCTTAGCGGTCGGGGAAATCTTTAACCGGGGGAACCAAGCGTCGGCGTGCCAATCCAGAGCCGCCGCTAGATCAATCCCGGCCCCCTCTTGGGAGCCGAATTTCTTTTTGCTCTTTTTTGCAATCGCTTCAGCGCGGCTTCTAGATGCGTTTTGATACCTCATATTAACAAAGTTAACAACTTTGTATTTTTATGGGACATTTTTTCCGCGTTTTTCGCCTACAATTCGCGATTTTTTCAATGTTAGTATTCCTCGCGCAAGCTAAATGATACACCAATCGATGCAGAAAAATCTCGCGCATCTTTCTATGCTGGTTTCAGGTTGCGCTCGGAATACTAAAAATGCGAAAATCTCAAAAAACTGTTTTTACTATTCGATTTAACCATGCTCCGGAAGCTCCTAGATATCAAAAATCACTAAAAACACGATAAACATACATAACATATTATCCACATCTAGGTATAGACGTAAAAACAAAAAGTGTTTCACGCCTCTCGCTAACAGCCCAGAACCAGTTTTCGCGAGATTTTGAGATCATCGACACGTTAATAGGACGGGGGGTGGGCGGAGACAATTTCTCACGCCATGCCAACCTTGCTGCCCTGCATACAGTCCGGGTGATAACGGGGCCAGTCCGGGCTGTAAAGAAGCTTTGTTAAGAATGTAGGGGTGATTTACGGAAGCTTGTTTATGTCGTCGTCATCGGGTTCTCCGTTGCGGCACTTGTAACACTTGACTGCGTGGGAGAAGCTGAGGTGGAAGACGAGCAGGGCCAGCGCGAGGGCCACCGAATAGCGGGCAGACATCTTGGAGAAATGACTAAGAAGGATGGATTAATCTAAAAAGCGTCATATTATCTAAACATGTTTTGGATATGTATGCAAATTGCGAAAAGTTCCACATACTTTTTCAAACTGTTTGGGATGTTGGAGATTGAGATAGAACGCTCCTTGAGACTCTACATTACCCCCAGGCGCGGACATATCCTTTTAAGACAGAGACAGAGAGAGCGGGAGAGAGAGAGAGAGAGAGAGAGATCGAAAAAGCGAGAGAAAGCTCCCAGAGAGATACTTTATTCGCCATAACCAATGAAAAGCATCACATTCAAACGGCCAAATTCTTATTTTTAGAAGTGGTTGATCATTTTGGCGCCGACGAGCGAGATGGCCATGAGGTAGCTGACGCTAGATGACGTGGATGGCGGTAGGGCCATCGCCATCAAGTTCGTCGAGTTCCAGTCGTTGCACAGGTCCGTGTCGCAGCCGCACTCCCAGCCATCGTCTGGCAAGAGAGTGATTGAAAGAGAGACAGAGAGAAAAAGCAGAGAGAGAGAGAGAGAGAGAGAGAGAGAGAGAGAGAGAGAGAGAGAGAGAGAGAAAGATATCGAGGCTAGCTTACCAGCAACGCATTCTGGCTGCTCCTGGGCGCAATGCCGCATCATCCCCAACTCGCCGCTCGTCTCCTGGCCGAGGTACGCGACGCAGTACGTGCCGTTACAGGTTGTTACGTTCTGAAAACGTATTATAGACAGAGAGAGAGAGAGAGAGAGAGAGAGAGAGAGCGAGAGAGGTGGAGAGAAAGATAGAGTGAAATATTCATACCTCGCCACCATCCATACAATCGGCGTGATGGAAGAGCGGCTTGAGGCTGAATTTCGCGTACAAAGGATGTGATCTATGCAACCTACAGCCCGTCGGACCAATTTCCGGCCGATCTGCACTGGTAGCACATCGTCGTCTCGCCGACGCCGAGGTAGACGACGGTCAGGGCCAGTGCTAGAAGCACCGAATAGCGGGCAGACATTTTGGAGAAATGACTGAGTCCAGTTAGACGAATTCATATTAGTTTATTGAAATTGCGGATTAGTGTTTTCATTTGTCGTTATCCATTTTCAAGACCGCTCAGACTCTCAATTCCCAATAAACCCGGATAATCAATAATTTACATCAGCACAAGGAATTTGAACGAGAAGGCCTTCCAAAAATCCCCTATTGCAACGAAATGCCCAATTTTTTCTGGGCGGTCGTACTGCTCGCCGTCATCGGCCACCAGAATCGCCTGGTCAACGCCACTACCTGCTTCAAATGCTGGTCTGGGGATCAGCAGGCCATTCACCAATTTCAGCTACTGTAAGCGCAAGGAAAAATTTTATGACACCGTATTTTCTAGAGAACCCGAATTGTACGGGGATGTCGAGTACAACGAGCACTGCTCCGACGAGAATCAGATGGTATCGCATCTTTTGAATTAAACGTTTGCAATAGACTTATCTGTTCATTTACGTGCTAAATTTGTATACCTCAATTTACGCTAGGTTTTCCCGTAAGCCAGCTCCTCCTTTAAGGCCGTCGTCGAGGTGAGCGAGTGTCCGCGGGGCAAATGTTTTGCGCGACGCCTCGAAGACGCCGACAACCAGCCGCTCACCGTCAGGAACTGCTACGCGGGCCCCAAGTGGAAACGTGATCGCTGGCGGGTCAAGACTCCCAATTGTAGGCAGCCTTCCGGTTTTGAATTGTCGCTTGGTGGCCGTGGTCCGTAAGTGACGGAAACGCGACGCAAAAAAGACGCAAAATATACTCAAAAGCGCCGCAAAGGGCTCGATTTATTTCCGGGGTAAGACTCCAGATACCCCGCCCCCAGGCGGCTCGCAACTTATGTAGCTCGCTCCCTGTTCATCTCCAGGGTGTGTAAAGTATACCAAAATGTTCGTCTTGCCCTGGCGAGCATTTTGCTTTACTTTACACACCTGTAGATGAACAGGGAGCTGGGATAGAAAAGTTGGGGGCCGGCTGGGCCGGCTGGGCCGGAGCTGGAGTTGCCATTTCGCTTTTTGCTGTTGCAGACACGATCTGGGACTACGGCTGCGCCAGCAACAATTGCAACTTCCCGTCGGTGGAATGGCTGAAGGAGGGTTATAGTGACGGAACGGAAGGACCGAACGGATCCTAGAAACAATCATCACCGATCGAATGCTTTTTCGTGCTGTATAGTTAATTATCAATAAACTTTTATCTCTACGAGTTTCGGCCCATTTTGCTGCAATTTGGAGCGATCGAAGGCAAAGGCTTGGAAATCCGGTTTTGGTGGTCTGTCGGCATGCACACGCTACGCACACATGACACACACGCTACGCATCCGTTGAGTATAAGCTTCGCACATGCTACGCATACGTTATGCACACGTTACGCACACATGCGCGCTCGCTACGCACACGCTACGCATCCGGTGCGCATTTGGCACCCACACGCTTCGCTACGCACACGCTTCGCTACGCAAACGCTTCGCTAGGCACACGCTATGCACACGTTACGCACACGCTCCGCACGCTTTGGGGGCTCGCTACGCACAAGCTAGGCAGCCGCTTGACGGCCGCTACGCACCCGCTACCCACACGCTACACGCACGCTATGCACTCGCGAGGCGGCCGCTAGGCGCAAGCTAAGCATACGCTAGGCCCGCTTCCGCTTCCAATCCCCTGCACATGCACCACGCCGTTGTAACGCGTCCACTACGGATCCAGCACGCATTTGCTAGTTACACATTACGCACACGAGACGCACCTGATAAGCACGTTTCGCACAAGCTAGACATCTATCAGTCGCACGGTACGCACCATATGGGTGTCTTCCAAACATCACTACGAATGGCTACGAGTCGCTACACGCCATGGATGGATCTCAACTGAGATTCCTCGCAGCGAATGGAAAAAGTAGTCTTTTGCGCCAATTTCAAGCTCCAAAAATGATATTTTGGCTACCAATTATGATGAGCGACGATTCATAATCGAGAGAATTGGAGAAAGGGAACGGACATAAATGAAGGGATTGCTCCAAAAATTCCCGAAAATGCCTAAAGTTTGCATAGTATTTTAGCCAGTGATACGACGTGGCTTCTACCGTGTTGTAATTTTATTTGGTGCAATTAAGATTACTGATAACAAATTTATTGAAAACCCAGACCTCGAAAAGCCGCTTGTAGATTTATTGAAACGCGAAGGAGAAGATTGCGAATAACAGAGCCATCGTGACGCAAATTCCGGAACCAGAAGACTTCATTAGAGGGATAGAGGCTTTTCCTTTCGTTTCTTCCAAATTCTTCGGTCCCACAACAGCGCCTGGGGAAGCTCCAGAACCTGACGGTCCACTCATATGGAACTTGGCTTCACCGTTTTTTTTCGGTTCCGTAGCGTTTGGCTTCGGAAGCACTTCATTTCCGGAATTCGGGGGTTGGAACGCTTTAGTGCTGGAAAGTTTAGCATTTTTCGGCTTTGTCGTGGACACGTCAACTTCAGAATTTGGTAGCTTCGAGCTTTGTAGCTTCCCAAGCTCTGGTTCAGTCTTCTTTGGCTTGGTAGTCGACGCGTTAATTCCAGAACTTGTAGTGACCACGTCAGCTCCAGAATTTGACGTTTGGGTCGTTGGAACAGGGCCAAGATCAGAACTCTTAGCTTTGCTAGTTGTGGCTCAGAATTTGACGTACTCGAAGATGGAATTTCTGGAGTTTCAGCATGCTTCGCCGGTTGAGTAGTGGCTACGTCAGCTCCCGAATTTGGCGCATGGGAGGTTGAAATACTGCCACGAGCGTGAGTTTTGGGCTTGGTAGTTGTGGCTCCTGAATTCGACAAGCTCGAAGCTGGAATCTTTGGAGCTTTATTTTTTGCCGATGTAGTAGTGCGCAGACCCTTTCCAGAAGTTGTCGTCGTCGACGTCGACGTGGTCGTCGTTTGAACAGTAGTAGAATCAGCATTTTTTGGTTTGGTAGTTCTTGTTCCAGAATTTGGCGTACTCGAAGATGGAATAATTGCATTTTCACTATTCTTCGCCGGCGTATTAGTGGCAACGTTAGGGCCAGCGTTAGCTAGATTCAAGGGGGCTACATCTCCAGCAGCGGATCTTTTCGCCTTCGTTGTTGTGGCTTCAGAATTTGGCGTGCTAGAAGATCGAATAAGTGCATTCTCAGAATTTGCAGGCCCAGAATGCGTCGTCGGAATAGTGACGGGGGCAGAACTCAGTGGCTTGGAGGTTTTTCCATTTTCCGGCTCAGGTTGAGCCGTATTCGGCCTCGTCGTCGACAGGCTAGCCACAGAATTTATGTTTGAGTCGTTTGAATATTGCCGGATTCGGAATTATCCGGCTTCTTATCAGCGGACTTGTCTTTACCAGCATCCGACTTTAAAGCAATTGCGTGCACGAATAGACAGGCTAATAAAAGAAAAATAGAAAGGCGTTTAGATCGGAAACGCATTTCCAGGCCAAATTTCGATGATGATGTAAAAGCCAAATGAACGCTCATCCCGTTTCGACCCCGAATTATGATTTGGCTGGGGACGGGGCTCCAGAATCTTATGAATTAGGCCTGAATCACCTCCAGCAGGCCAAAAGCCCTATTAACCGATAAAAACTAGCCCGAAACTTAGTGTGTTGATTTCGCTTTTTGTGCGTTTTGATCCTTCATATCAACAAAACTTTATTAAAATGAAAAGCCACTTTCCTGTGTGAATTTATTCTACCGTAAAGAAAATTGAGAAAAACAAAGCAATTGCGAGCATCGTTCCGGATCCGGAAGTTGTGGATTGAGGACCGGTTATGTCTGTTTCTTCAGAAATAAGCGTTTTGGCGTCGGAATATCAAGTTTAGAACGGGCCGACGTATTCGTGGTGGTCATATCATCCCCAGAATTTGGTAGTTGAGAAGAGGGCGGATTTGGAAGGATGCTAGGGCTGGAGCCTGCCGGCGTTTTTGTGGTGGTCAGATCATCATCTGGTTTTCCGGAATTCGGAGGCTCAGATGTTTGGCTAGATCCAGAT